GATGAGAACAGGATGGGTTTCAACACTGACAAGTGCAAGCTGATGCACCTGGGGAGGAAGAACCAGCACCATACCTACAGGCTGGGGAACTCCCTTCTCATCAGTGCAGAGGCAGAAAAGGATCTTGGAGTCGTCATTGATGCCAAGATAAACATGGGCCGGCAGTGTGGGGATGCAGTTAGGAAGGCCAACTGCACCCTGTCATGTATCCACAGATGCATCTCCAGCAGGTCCAAGGAGGTGATACTCCCCCTCTACGCGGCACTGGTCAGGCCTCAGCTAGAGTACTGTGTTCAGTTCTGGGTACCGCACTTCAACAGGGATGTGGACAACATGGAAAGGGTCCAGAGGAGGGCCACCCACATGATGAGGGGGCAGCAGGGCAGGCCCTATAAGGAGAGGCTACGGGACCTGAACCTGTTCAGCTTCCACAAGAGAAGGCTGAGGGGGGATCTAGTGGCCTGTTACAAACTAGTCAGAGGGGACCAGCAGGCACTGGGGGAGTCCCTGTTCCCCCATGCTCTACCAGGAGTGACAAGAAATAACGGTCACAAGCTGGCAGAGGGTAGATTCAGACTAGACATCAGGAGGCGCTACTTCACTGTCAGGGCGGCTAGGATCTGGAACCAACTTCCAAGCAAAGTGGTGCTGGCTCCTACCCTGGGGGTCTTTAAAACAAGGCTTGACAATCACCTTGCTGGGGTCATTTGTCCCCAGTACTCTTTTCCTGCCATGGCAGGGGGTTGGACTTGATGATCTGCTCAGGTCCCTTCCGACCTTACTGTGAAACTATGAAACTGTAGCATCTATTTGTCCAGCTCTGATGCTAAGTAATAACTGCATTGTAAAGATTCATATGCTGTATCATAAGGTGCAGCATTTTGCCTTCTATACTAATGTTTCTTCCATGTCAGCAATGATCTACTTCAACAAAGTCAGTTAAGAGTAAAATAAAGGTATGGTATAGATTTGCAGTGTAGCTGTAGCCAATAATACCCTTGGGTGCAGACCGTATTTTCTCACGTATAATCCATAGCTTTTTCCCCACAACCAGGTAGGAAAAGTTGGGGTACATATTATAGACAACAAAAGTTCCCCATGGGTCCAGAAACTGGAGGCAGTGGGGGCCAGAACAGCATTAATTGCCATGCTTCTGGGAGCCATAGCAATTAATGCTGCCACTACTCCTGCCCTCGCCTTCCCTCACTGCCAACAAATTTCTGGACACATGGGGAGTCCTTCTCCTCAACTGTGCACCAGATTGGGATCCAGCACACAGCCCCAGTGTCAGTGTGCCAGATCAGTCCCTGGCATGTGGCCCCAGTGCTGGCATGCTGGATTGGGCCCAATATGTGGTGCCAGCTCAAGCATGCTGGGCCCTGGTGCATGACCCCAAGCTCTGGTGCACAGCCCCCAACCCCAGATCTCTGTCACTTACCTTTTGTTTACTCTAAGGTAAGATTTTTTTCCTTCTTGGGGCTATCCAAAAATAGAATATGAAAAAATAAGGTAGGATAATGGCTTGTTTGTGAAATTTTGGAAAGGAAAAAAATCTTGACTCCCAAAGCTACCTCTCTTCCTTGGTTTTATACATTCAGGAAGTTCTTAGCCAGATAATATCTTTTCCTATATATCTCCATTTATTTTTCTGGTTTTCTCTGTCACTGGCTATACATATTATGAAATAATCCTGGTATTTACGTTGGCTTTATTCTCAGTGACCTTTATTTATATTTCTTCCTTCCTGTCTTTAGGAATTGTAAAAACAACCACCTTTTGATTTTCAAGTCATGTTAAGTAGTAATTCTCAAAACAACTAAATCCTGAGAGTAAGCTATCAACCATCTAATTAGCTATAAAGGAAAGATCTGTAAAGATAAACAAAATACTATCTGTTTTCAATAAGGTATGATAGTTTTCTATCAAAACAGCAATGATTCATGTAAACACTGGGAGTTTTCTTTCATTTACAGCCAATTGAACCCCACACAGAATTAAAAGTGTGGTATGCAGCAGATTATGCCAAATTTATGGAAGCTTCTGCAGTTGTCATTAAAGAAGAATCTGATATCTATACTTTACCACCAGTTTCACCAATAGTAAGTATCCTATAGTCAAGGCAACACTAGGCTTACATTCTAAAATCTGCTTATTTGCTTTGTAGTCAGCTTACATGACAATGGCAGTTTGAAAAGAGGATGATAGATTAGTTGGCTAACATTGAGAAAAAACAATTTGAATCAAGTAGCAAAGGAAAGGTGCCACTTGCAGGTGTATTGTATATCATATGCTCTGTTTGTAATCTAGTGGTATCTGATCCAGTAGTGCCACATTAATGGAAAGCTTTGGAAAGACAGACAGGCTGACATTTATTCTTAGAAGCCCTAGTACTCCAGTGCTTATAGTTCTCCTGTCACCCACTGTCCAGTGCTCTGTGTTCTCCTCTCAAGCCTAGCTAGGCTGTTTCAGCTTCATCTGTGTAGTGGTTCTTCTACTGTAATATTATTTTTCTCTTTGCCTGTGTCAGCATAGAAGAGTGATGCTCAACCTTTCAGCCCTGTGGACTGGATGAATGGTGGGGTGGGGTGGGACTGACCTGTATACTTGATCCAGCTTGGGCTGAGTGTGGGGTTGGTCTGCAGGTGTGACCCCACATGCTGATCCAGCCCTATGTACAAGTTCTGGCTATAAAGGGACCCTGTGCATTGCCCTAGCCCCATGTGCTACATTCAGCCATGAAACAACCCGATAGCTGACTGACCGTGGACCAATCCTGCATTCCAGCAGGATCCAGCACAAAGATTTGTGTTATCAAGATCCACGACTCTGGAAGCCACAACAAGTAATGCTGTCACTGCTTCCCTGTCACCACATTTTCAGACCTGTGGGGAGCCTCTGTGGGCCAGATGATACAGGCCCATGCACCAAATTCAGTCTGCAGCCTGGGGGTTAAGCACCGCTGGCATAGATGGACACAATGCTGTGCTGTTGGTAGAACTGTACATCTGGCCTGAGAGTTTATAGAGCTTCAGTATCGGAGAATATTCTCCTAAAATTACCTATAAAGCTTGACTTATGCCTAACAGTAGAACTGTGACTAGCACTTTCATAACAGGAGCAAATATAGAGACATTGGATGCATCTATACTTATTGCTCCTCAGTTTATGGCTTCCAGGAGCTCCCAGGTGCACCATTTACACATGCATCTAGACTGCAGCACACTGAGTTGGGCCACAGCAGCCCCAGCTGGCTGTGGCATGAGGGTCCTTCAATATGGGGCTAGCTGGCAGGCAGCCCCCATGCCCTAGCCAGCTGGGTTGGTCTACACATGAGAAGCTGCATACAAAAAACCCCTTTGCAGCAGGGTAGTACCTTGTATTTACAAATACTACCCTGCTGCAGGGTTCATTAGCTTTGTGCACCCTAATAGGGGCACACATGTAGATGCTGAGATGTTTACTGCTCAGTTAATTAGTCAGCTGTGCAGTAAATGCTTCATGTAGATGTGCCCGCTGAAATTCATTTTGCAGAGAAAACGCAAAGGTGAAGTGCTCAAAAAGTTAGCATAGCAGTTAAAATGAAAGACATGAAATAAGCATCAGCATTAAGCCAGTTATTTACTCTTGTGCTTGTAGACCACTAAGGCCCCTGCCATTCAGGTAAGGGTGTGGTAGGAGCTGATGCACCATCCACGCAACCACACCTTCTGCTGTGCCACACATGTACGACAGGAGATGTGACTGTGGGATCCAGCTGACTGCAGCTGACAGAGCTCCCAGCCACAGGGGAGCACCTGGCTACAAGCTCAATTCATTAATGGTGTGATGGGAAGGAGCCACAAAGTTATTACACATCTTTTATGGAATAACTTTGAAGCGTATTCCTTGTTTTATCACGCCATTAATTGACTGAATGTGTAGTGGGGTCACAGTTTAAGAACTGATTAATTGGTTAATCACATATTAAGTGTAATGTGTGGCAAGGGCTTATGATCACTACATTTCCAGCTGAATAGCAATCTGGTGACACAGTTTAAATACATGTCACTGAGGGTACTGAGAGATCTTGAGGATGCCAAAAAGAAGTCGGGTCTGTTGAGAAGAATGTGACCTTTCCCTTGACAGTGGTTAATATGAAGGAACTGTTTTTGTTGTTCTTGTTGCAGAGAGATTCTGCAGACCCTTGGATATGCTCCAGTTGTAGTCACGTTTTCGGGACTTTTGCTCTTTTGGAATCTCACCAGTGCATCAATGAAGACCGAGCCCTTACTCCCAGCTTCAGACTACCAAATAAATTGGGACCTGTAAAAACCAAGAGCAAGCCCAAAGGGAAACTGAGAAGAACTACCTTGGGCAAAAGCACTGTCCAGTGCTACGGGGCCATTTCCTGTTCTCCTGGTGCAAAGCTTAGCTGCACCAGCTCAGGAAGAGTTTGCAATCCCATTGCGAGGTTTGTGCCGAAATGGAGAAGTGGCCAGTCTTCACTGATGAAGGGAAGAGAAATGAAGCAGCAAGACAGTTTCCACTGTCAACTCTGTGGAAAGATATTTGATTCAGTTGAAAAGCTCACAATCCACACTTACAACCACACAGGGGAGCGTCCCTACAAGTGTTCAGAGCACGGATGCACAAAAGCTTTCCTTTCCAAATATAAACTAATAAGGTACAACTCCTTGAGGCACCAGCCATCTTTTCTGGTGGGTGTGTGGGGGGAGGTGAAGTGATGTCTTTCTGTTAGGAGATTCAAATGACAATTATTCCCTAACATCCATCTTTCCTATTTGTTTGCTTTAGCTGCTAGACGCCTTGCTTCCTTTACTTGCAATCAGAGTAGCTATTCAAAGTGTTTTTCCTTTGTAATTCCAAACCAGACAATAACAAATATTTAGCTGCTATTTAACAGAATCTGGCCTTTCAAAAGCTTTTACCATGGAGGGTGCTAGTATGTCTGCGTGGTCTTGAAGCTATATCCCACTTCTGCACTTAAGTTCTGTAAACTTAATAACGTTTATTATTCTTCTGTCTTAGGCACTCAGCCACCCACTCTCCACAGAAATCTCACCAATGTGGTTACTGTGAAAAGACCTTTCACAGAAAGGACCATTTGAAAAATCACCTTCAGACTCATGACCCCAACAAGATGGCCTTCAGGTGTGAAGAGTGTGGAAAGAAATACAATACTAAGCTGGGTTACAAGCGACACCAGGCTCTTCATGCAGCCACCAGTGGGGATCTTACCTGCAGGGTCTGCTCCCAAGAGTTTGGAGGAACTGAAATATTGTTGGAACATCTCAAAACTCATGCAGGGAAGCCAGCCAGCAGCACCAAGGAAAAGAAACATAAGTGTGATCACTGTGAGCGCCATTTCTACACTCGTAAAGATGTGCGGCGTCACATGGTTGTTCACACAGGCTGCAAGGACTTCTTGTGCCAGTTTTGCGCTCAGAGGTTTGGGCGCAAGGACCATTTGACCCGCCACACCAAGAAGACCCATCCACAAGAGCTGCTGAAGGGCAGGTTGCAGAATGGTGACTTGCTGGGTCTCTTTGACCCTCTTTCCCCATTCAGACTAAAGGAAGAAGACAGTGAACTCCCCTCTTTTCCTGATAGGGTTTCAACACAACATGGGATTCTGAGCAGTTCAGAAGCAGGCTACAACAGTCCACATACTAACTGTCAACAAGCCCTACAAAGTACACATTCCCTTGAACGTCTTCCTCACATGCCAAGGATGGGCTGCGTAGATGTCCTGTCAGCTGTTCGTTCCACACCCTCTCCACCGTCTGTTCCTACCAGCCAGAACTTTCATCAGCCCAATAGATATGAACCAAGTTCTACCTCATTCACATCAGTGCCCCTCAAGAATCTACCCAACAAAGTGGATGTTAAAAATTATAGTGTGAACCTGCTTGAAGATCTCCCTTTACCAGAACCTCGCTCACCTCACAAAATCAGTTTAGAGATTTCCTCAGGGCCCCTTGGTGATGTTGGCAAGTACACACTGCCCAAGGAGACTGAGACAACCACTGAAACAATGAACACGTCCTCCATGGATCTCACTCATATACTGGGTTTCTGGCAACTCCCTCCAAGTGATAACCAGAGTACCAGTGGGGACCTTACAGTGGCATTTGGTCAGGAGGAACCACCACATAGGTGCTGCCTTGGACAACTGCAAGGTCCTCAGATAGCTACGGATGGTGCAGCTCTCAATCAGCTTCCTCATGTCCTTTGCTCTTTTCCATTCAGCACAAATTCTGTGACATTGCCTCATTTTCACCATGCATTCAGATAACTACCAGCTATTACTAAGACTCCTTTTTTTACCTTAACTTTTTAGGGAGAGAAAAAAATCTTTTAAAAACCTATTAAAAACAATTTGGGAATAATCCTGACAGGAGCTTATTTTGTGTGATACTTACTCATTTTATAGTGTATGACAATAGCAAGAATGGCATGTTTTTCCTCTCCATACCCTATGTTTTTTACATTTAAACCAAATAGCTGAATAAGTGATCTTCAATGGAAAAACAACTAGTTTCATGATGAGCACACAAAATTCTGGCTGCTGTGAGGGGGTGGATAATTTAACCTTAATGAGTCATGAAGATGTTGCACAGATAACTTCAGAATTGGGAGACATGTTAAATTCTACATCAGAACATGTATAATTTTGGAGGGTCAAGTAGGTTTCTGTGTTGAGCACTTAATTAATGAACTTTTAAGTATGTTTCAGTTGTGATTCTGTCACTGAATTACTTTATCTCCTTGTCTCACTTCTTTTTTTAAAACAAAAGACAGATATTACTATGGCAATTAAATTGAACTAGATTTTGTTTTTTAAAGTGCACTTCAGCTGTATGTGCCTGCATATAGGGAGGTGGTTGCGTGTGTGCACGCATACGTGTGTGCGTGTGGGCAGATCTGCATTTTCCCTGGGTTGGTAGCAGACGAACAGCTGTCTTGTATAAATGGCTTTTGCTAAAACAGAAGTAAATTGTTTAACATGTTAAGGCAGCATATTAATTTTAATTTAGAACTTGATCTGGCAAGATATGAGGCACCTTGGGCTCATGCAAGCAAGCACTTCAACACATATGCACATACCTGCAGTCCCATTGGCTCAGCATCTTGCATATCTAAGGCTCAGTAAAGATCATGCGCCTCATCAAGCTAGGATTTGATTCATCTTTGATTGATGAAGTTCGTCTTTGTTTAGCCCAGGAAAGCAATTAATAATTTTTACAAGCTGCAGCATAAAAGTTCCTTGGCTGATAAACGGCATTAGCAATAACAGCTTGAGCTGACAGCCGTCCACATCATGTATATTAACACATTATGAGGTTAGTTGCGGGTCTGCCTCTGAAGGATTGTAGAATCCAGTAGCTTACACAGTGTATCGCTTACAGCCACAGATGGTGCCAAACACCACTGAAGTGTTCATGTTTATGTAGCAAGTATGATGATGTAAAACTCATTTTATTATGGCTTCAGAATGGGAGTATTTAGCAAATTATATCTTTTTAAACCACAACAGAAGTAAAGGTGTAAACAGACCTCAGCTTTGTGCCACCACAATTTTTATGGTGGCATAAAGGGAAAGCAAAGAGATGCCTATACTATTTGTCCTACCACTAATCATAGAATCATACAATCATAGAAAATTACATGTTGGAAGGGACCTCAGGAGGTCATCTAGTCTATCCCCCTGCTTGAAGCAGGACCAGCCCTAATTAGATCATCCCAGCTAAGGCTTTGTCTAGTTGGGTCTTAAAAACCTCTAATAGAGATTCCACCACTTCTCTGGGTAGCTGTTCCAGTGCTTTACTATTCTTCTAGTCAGAAAGTTGTTCCTCATATCTAACCTAAACTTCCCTTGCTACAACTTGAGACTGTTGCTCCTTGTTCAGTCATCTGCTACCACTGAAAACAGTCTAGCTACAGCCTCTTTGGAACCACCCTTCAGGTAGTTGAAGGCTGCTATCAATTCCACTCCCCCCCACCCAGTCTTCTCTTCTCTTCTCCAGACTAAATAAGCCCAATACCTTCAGCCTCTCATAATTCATGCACCCCAATCCTCTATTTTTGTTGCCCTCTGCTGGTCTCTCTCCAACATGTCCGCATCCTTTCTTTAGTGGAGGGCCCAAAACTGGACACAGTACTCTAGATGTGGCCTCAACAGCGCAGAAGAGGGAAATAATTACTTCCCTTGATCTGCTGGCAATGCTCCTACTAATGCAGCCTAGTATAGTGTTAGCCTTCTTTACAACAAGGGCATACTATTGGCTCATGCTCAGCTTACTGTCTGCTGTAACACCCAGGTCCTTTTCTGCAGCTGCTGCTTAGCCAGTCAGTCCCCAGGCTGTCCCGGTGCATGGGATTGTTCTGTCCTAAGTGCAGGATTTTGCACTTGCCCTTATTGAACTTCATGAGATTTCTTTTAGGTCCAACCCTCCAGTTTGTCTAGGTCTCTCTGAATCCTAACCCTACCCTCCAGTGCATCTACTACTGCACCCAGCTTGATGTCATTTGCAAACTTGGTGAGGTTGCACTCCATCCCACTTTCCAGGTCATTGATGAAGATCTTGAACAAAGCCAGCCCCTGGACCAACCCCTGGGGCTCTCCACTTGATGCCAGCTGCCAACTAGGCATTGAGCCATTGATTTACTACCCTTTGAGCCTGATGCTCCAGCCAGTTTTCTATCCAACTTACAATCAATTCATTCAATCAACCCATATTTCCTTAGCTTGCTTGTGAGAATGTTGTCAGTGACTGTATCTAAAGCCTTGCTGAAGTCAAGGTATATCATGTCCACTGATCTCTCTGCATTCACAGAGCCAATCATCTCAGAAAGCAGTCAAGTTGGTCAGGCATGACTTGCCCTTGGTGAATCCATTGTGACTTTTCCCAGTCACCTTCTTCTTCCCTCAAGTGCTTACAAATGGATTACTTCAGAATCGGCTCCATGATTTTTCCAGGAATTGAGGTGAAGCTGATTGGTCCTTAGGTTCCTGGATCCTCCTTTCCTTTCTTAAAGATTATCAGTATATTTGCCCTGTTCCAGTTGTCTGGGACCTCTCCCAATTGCCATGAGTTTTCAAAGATAGTGGCCAGTGGTTCCAGTTGCCTTGGCCAGCTCTCAGCACCCTTATGTGCATTGTGTGTGGCCCCATGTACAAGTCCACATCCAGCTTGTCTAAAAGGTCCTAACCTGTTCTTTCCTGTTCTTTCACCACTGTCAGCTGTTCACCTCCTCCCCAAACTGCTGCCCAAATTTGTGACCCCAAAAAAAGTGGTAATAGTTTCTGCTGTTTTATGGCAGACGTCTGTTAGCTTTATGGCACAAGACCCTGGGCAGCCCAGAGCTGCCTGCACTCTGCATCCGCTCCAGACATGTGCTCCTAGGGCTTGAGGGCCCATCCTGCATGCCCCCAGAATTTCCACACAGGATCAGGCCCCTCGTGGCCTGAGAGTTTCTGCCCAGCTTTCCTCACTTGCAGTAATGTGCCCCAAGGAGTCCACTGACATGGCTGACCACTTCAGATGGTAACATCTATTTATACTCTAATACTTTTCTTTGTGGCAAGTTTTCTATCTAGAATTCTATTCTGATGGTGTCCAAGTGTCTATCAGATACTGTCAGCTGACCAACTATGGTATATTCATGTAAATAGCAAAAAAATTAATGCTTTTACAAAGCGTGCATATTTTTAAATAAGAAAACCCACAGGATTCATTTTTTTGAACCTCCACAAAGATCTTTTTCATTGCTGCTATTGTTAAGTTGTTTTTTGATTAAAATATTCTAAGTCCTAAATCTTGCCAGGTATCAGGAGGAGTTACAGGTGGTGAAGGTTCTACTGTATGTGCAAAAAGGATGGGTTTTTTTCCTTATTGCTCCCATTCCTACCATATTTTCCTGCAGCACCAAAGAATTTGTTTAAAAGATCATAAAGATTTGTTTATTAATGGACTATGAAAAGCCTCCTGTTTGACAAATTGGGAATGATAGCATCTGCATGAGTGCACATTTTTCCAGCATATTTTGGGTAAGCCTTCCAAAAAATGTCTATTTTGTTTACCACATTGACCCTTCTCATCTTGCAAATTGTATTCCCTTTGCATGATGCAAAACTATATGCTTTGAAAGATATGCATTTTTATAGGTATTCTATCATTTTGGTTTGAAGTGATGTAATTTTATATTACTTTCTTTCAGTTAAAAGATGATTGTTAAAAGAATGTGCAACTTGAGCCGGAATCATGACTATGGTCTATGTGGAAATGTTTAACTTTATTTAACAGCCAAATGCCTTTAAATGCTCTCAAGTTGTTCTGAAATACGGCCTCTTATCTTGAAGGTGAAGAGTGTTTCTCATTCATATAAAAATAAAATGAATCACTTTTGTTATTAAGACTCCTAAATACCATGCTTTAAGGGTAAGAAACAAGATGATCTTGTTACCATATCTCCTTGCACACAGCGAGCCCCAGAATAAAGACAAAATGAAGAAAAAAAGACTTTTCCTTGTAGTAACTCAGTAGCAGCAGCTGAGCCTGCTTACTGTTCCGCTCCCTGTAGATTGCATGCAGACTTCACTTTTGCTTTCCCTGGCAAGCAGCAGAAACAAACTGCTCTCGCCGTATTTCCTTAAATATAATGCACATTCCAATTTCCAGAAGTTGTTTTTTGAGGAAAAAGGGCACATGCTGCATGTGAGAAAATATAGCATTTTAACCCCTTCAATCTATTCATGTTTGGCTGTTGCTCCTAGGGTCCCAAGGCTCTTCCTTCCTCCTCTGGCTTTTGCTTTCTGTTCCTACCTGTTGGTGGGGGTGGGGGGGAGCAGGATAGGTTGACTAGTGGGAAGCTCAGTGAGTCTGCACAGCTCATGAGTCAGTGAGGAGCTTGTGGCATGCAGTCCCCAGCCAGTCAGAAGCTGGACAGTCTAAGCTAAGCATTCCAGCCCTTCCTTTGAAGCTGGCTCACTGGACAGCCAAAAGAGGGAGATATATAAGGGGTCAGGAAGAAGAGAGCAAGCCAGAGGAAAAATGGCTCAGTGAGATACCCCAAGGACATTGCCCTGAGGCAGGAACTATCCCACTGCTGCTTATCCATTTTATCCAATAAATATTAGATTCAAGATAAGAAAAGCCATTGCACTTAGGCTTATCAATGTGAAATGGGATTAATTCCTATCATGTTCAATGGTAAAGCAGCATTCTGTATAGTACACACCAGCAGATAAGCTTACTTCTGTTTCTTTGAGCAGGAATTATATTTTCTGTAGACTCCCTGTCACAGCTTCATTGAAGGGTTCCTGTTACGTCAAACTGCAAAACAAAAACAGAAGTTTGCATGAGTCTTACCTGTACCAGCAAGCATACATGCACTGTCAGCAATATGCTCACCTTAATACACAGTACTTCTGTGTGCATTTTAAAGTTTGAAACTGCACATTTCTAAATGTGAATACCTAATGCAGTTGGTGATGCTGTTGCATTTCAGGCCAGAGCCACCATGCAACCCCAGTAATGCAATGAGGTTTTAATACTTCCCTGGACAAAAAATTTCAAATGTAAGTAATGCATTAGGAAGCCAGTGGGATATAGACTCCTAAGAACTTTGGCCCTTAAAAAGAAGTTACTCTTCATGTAGATGCTACAAGACTAGGCTCAATATCAATAGGTTTGACTTAAGCACATGAAGCTACCTCAGAATGCGTTCCAGTCTGCCTCAGCAACTTTTTCCTAATACAGTGATGGCATTTCATTTTGCAGCACTGCTACTCGCTGGCTTTATGCTGGTGGTCTTGTGTTCCTTGCCTTTTGCCCTGACCTGTGGCAAAGCCTCAAACAGAACGTTAAAAAGATCAGTTAAGTTTCTGTTGTCACTACCCATACCCAGAATCCCCTGTGCTTTGGAGGTAGACTCCTTGTGTGCCATGCAGTGGACCCGGGTTCAATTCTTGGACGTGTATGTAACTACAGCCCCTGAGGCGCTGAACGTCTGGACTTGGTCTGGCCTTTGGATTCTTTCTCAATGGCCTAAAGTGGGGATGGAAGGTTTGGGCAGCCTCAGTTCCTCCAGCCTCCTGCCTAGACATAAGTGTTCAAGGTGTGGGCGACCTCTTGCACATACACCCTGATCCTAAAGGATCAATAGCCTGAGTTACATCATTAATCCTGCTTAGTATGAAGTCAAACATCAACAGTCTGAGAACCAGGCTTCTGGCAGTGGACGTTAGTTCAAGGATTTATTTTTTGTCAGAGCTCACCATCATGCCACTTTTTTCATGTATCTATTCTACCTTTGCTGTAGTGATGCACATCCCCAGTATTGTGTTTCCCAATATACTATAAATTGTTATTCTGGGTTCAGACTGAATCACTACTTATTAGTAGTTGCATATCATGAACTTTTTTCAATAACAAGTAGGATAAGTTGTCTAATTATGTCTGCATATTTTGGTGGTTTCTCTCAAATTCTGGTGATTCAACTTTTGATGGGGGATTGAAGCAGTGACTTCCAAAGCTAAATGCTTTTCTCTCTACAGCCTCAGCTAAGAAACTGACTGCTGTAGCAAACTTATATTCTCTGTGGATCAGAAACAATTATATCCACCAGTGGTGCTGCAATTCACTTAATGAAGTAATAGGTCTTTCCACTCTTCTATGAACCTACAACCCACTTTAATGCAATACAGCACAATAGGACAAATTACCTCATCAATCAATTTTCATATTCCCATTTTAGATTTCAAGTCTTAAAATTTTCTCTCTGTAATATCTCCCTGTAGTTTGTAATATTTATACTTTTCAATAAAATAATTTCTACAGAGCAGAGCTGAGCTTTTTTTAATGTGTAACACTTGCTATGTTAATTGGTGCTGCTTAACTGAAAGTCTGCCATGTCTTCGTGAGAGAAACCAGTCAAATATTGGATCTGCATGCCTTTGCAGGTGGTAAGGCTTTCAGCTCTAATACAAGTTTAAGTACAAGTCAGGAATGCACTTCCTGGGACCAGTTTCCATTACAGCCAGTGAGTAGGATCTGATTCCCTGAGTCTGGGTAAGGAGGAACTATAGTATATTATATTATCATGTCTTCTAGGTAGATTTTTTTACATTTATACCAGATTCTATTCCTGGTATCAGAAATCTGACCCTGCTCAGGTCCCTGAAAAACTGTTAATGCACCTACAAACATTTTAGTATGAAGGTTAAGTCACCGAAAACACTGAGAACCCATCCACCTTTTGCATTAATGCTATTTAAAAGACTCAAGCAGGATGGAATAGAGTCACATTTAAGTACCCAAACAAGCAGCGTAATCTAACATACATTAAACATACATTTCTACTTTTGTGCTCTGCTTCTGATTTTGGCAAACCCTGCTATGGGTTTGCTAGTTGTCTTTTTTTTTTTTTTTTAAACAGTCCATCTATGTTTCTGCCTTTTTGTCCCCGACCCCCCATCCCCCCCGTGTGTGCATGTAAAAATTGTGATGGAGCTGCTAAATGGAGCAAACAGGGAAAGGTTAAAATTTCACAAATATACTAGAAAACCTTACTTCTGTACAGTAAGAGTCCCCAACCACACATAAGCCTGTGGGATTCTGTGAGGGTAGCTCCAATTGGCTGAACTCATTTTCTTGAGCTTAACTTCATTAGAAATGAAAGCCTATTTTTACTTAAGAAGTGCTATACTAGATCCAGTATTCCTTCTATGAAAATCACTGGGCTGAAATCAATGTATTACAACAAAGTGAACACATGGTCATTATAACACAACCAATAAACAAAAGGAGTAAAGAAAGAGTAGTAGAAAAATGATAGGATAAAAACATGGGGAAAATGTCTTCCAGTCTGAACTGGTGATTACATTTATAAGAGTTAAGTCTGCATATACAGAAAAAAAAATGAATAAGAAAGTGAAGGTCATCGGAGCTGAGCCACAACATATAGTTTCTAAGTTAACTATTTTCTTTCTTTACTGAAAGATTCCATTAAGCGTATGAATAAGATTCACAGTTTATACCCCAGAAACTGAGAATACACAACTCTGAGCACTCGCCAATAGCTACAGCTTGAAACTGCCAAAATAGCAGAAGCAAAGAGAACCAGCAGAAGCATGAAGAAAGGTCTATATAAAAAATTCTTGGTGTCAAAACTTTTGACATGGTTTATTTGGTGCTTCTTGCTGTCACCTGATAAGCGCAATTCATCCAAGATCCAAACAAGCATATTTGAAGTAGTTTAAAAAAAATGCTGTACGCATACAAATCTGCAAAATGTTATTTACACCACTGGACTTATTAACCAAAATAAAGGCCCATTTAAAAATGATTTTCAATCATCTTAAAAGTAGCCTCCTTTAACCAGTCATAAAGGGCAAATCATTTGGAAAGAAAAAAATAAATCAATTATGCTTTAAAAAGGATATAGTAAAAAATTATACCCCAAGGGGACAGACAAGGAATTGAGCAGGTCATGAAATGTGTTTTTGCTTATTTTATTGTTACACGACTTCTTTCATGTCTTAAGCTGTGCAATGCTTGGAAAGCAGATGGAACAGCTTCCTAGGGTCTTCAGGAGTGATGTTATAGAAGTAAAGCCACACCAAGTCCTTGGTGACCTGCCACTTTACCTTCTGCTCTGCATCAGCTGTCTGGAAACAGTAAAGTGACATTTACCTATGACTTGTAGTAGAACAAATATTTTATATCATGTTACTTTTGTCTTCCTAATAAAATACATTTTAAAAAAAGCAAAATCATATTAATGTTTTACCAAAATGACTGCTGTCTTAGAAACCACCTATGGACCATTTGAAAATGTTAAAAACCTTAATTACATTGTCAATTTAGAAAAAAAAAATCTACTTTAACTGACTGCTTTAAGGCTTGTGACTGTGCTTCAATTTACTTGATTCCAAGACAAAGTGTATTCCCCATTTAATACAGGGGATAAAAGCTCATCTGGGAATTGAGTACAAGGTTGGGGGGCAAGCAGCTGTTGCAGCTCCAGCTTCTGCCCATCTTCCAGTCTGGTAGCAATGGTGAAGGCAGCACCTCCACCTGGGCCCCAGAGCTGGGACTGGAGCTGACACAGCAATGCTGCTACCACTGCTAGTACTGAGCTGGGCTGGGGCCAGAGCAAGCACATGCTTGGTGCCCTGAGCTGAAGCGGGGATGGAGCCTGCTGGTGCTGGAACAAAGGGAAGTGGCGATGGCAGGGTGGGAGGGAGGCAAGTTGGTGGGGGGCAGAGATGATGGGGGAGTTAAGTAGGAGAGGTAGGCAGGGGGTCTGAGACTAAGGGGGGGCCAGGCACAAGGGGGGCAAGTGGTGGGATGGACAGGTGGCAGGGGGCAAAATGGGGGTGGGGGCAAGGTACAGGGGTCAAGCTGCTTGACCCCCCCCCGACTGCCTCCCCCACCACCAGTTTTGCTACTGCCTTCCAACCTCCTGCCCCCCTACTATCCCCAACTTGCCCCCTCATTCTGCCCCTCCACTGCCTCCCCCAGTGCCTGCCTTCCCCACTGCAGCAGTGGGGGGGACAAACTTAAGATAACCTTCCAATAATTAAATTTTATACATGGAAAATTATAACAAACTCATAAATTTTCTGTGTATAGCATCTAAATATTGATGGGTTGTCACTTGAATTCAGGTAAATATGGTAATTTTTGTCACTTAGGCCTGGGGTAGAAATCACCAGTGTGCACGTGCACACATCCACCCACCCACTGACCCCCTTTAATAGTTTGAAATCAAGCTGATTGTGTTGCTCAGTCTTGTTATAAAAATTACTCTACTAATTCCCCATTGAAAGTGGAAGGTTTTGTTCCCTACTTGAGATTCTTCCTTGTGCACTCATACCCTCCCCCTTTTTGGAGATCCTTTAGGTCCCCCACTCAGGCACTTTTGTTCAATAGCTCTATCCCTAAATCTCTGCATGAAGGACGTTTATATTATATACGACATTCAACTTAGTGTAAACTTATCACTTTCAATTTTATTTACATTGAATGCTCTTTCACATGACCCACTGGGCAAACATATAAACTGGAGGTTTCTGTGAAATTTCAGAGGGAATATCCCTTTAAGGACTATAAGATGATTCATACCACTCAAAGCTTGTGTTTCATTATCTGAAGACACAGGCAGAAGACACTAGCAATTTACAGTGAAAAATTTCCTCACCACCCAACACTTGACAAAGCTCAAGTTCTTCAGTAGACACTGTTTTCTTCTGGACTCTGAAATTCTCTCTCTCAGTTATTTCCTATATTGTGTATACAGCATATGGATACCAAGCTAGGAAATCTGACAAACTATTTAATCTTCTTATACTGTTCAAGTAAAGAGTATTTGTTACCCCAAATCCGCTGGATTAGTTTTTTCCAGAGGGTGTACTCATTTTTTTGGTTTTCTGTGGAATTCCAGCAGAAGGCTCCACAATGGCTCCTTTAAAGAAAAAAAAAAAAAGAAAACCCAGTGCTGTACACATCAATAGTTCTTATATAAACTGAGTAATTTCAAAATATGTATAAACACACAAGTATCCATCAATCTATTGAGATGCAGAGATCACTATACTGAGCTATATATATATATATCATTCTGTTTTGTTATACTGCAAATAGTTATTACATTAACTTTTTCTTAAATTTTTTTTAGTCTAGAAGGTGCAACTCTACTCTGCCTCCTGCCTATATAGTATTGCCATGATTAACTGTAACTGAATACCCAAGACAAACTTTGTCACACCCTGTAGAAAGGTATTAAAGAGAACAGCTTTAGAAATTTACTCTGCATTGCTAAGTTTAAGTCTTGTGTCAAAAAATAAAGGAAGAAATTTATCAAACCCAACAATGAATGGAAAATACAGTAAGCTTGTGCCTTTACAGACTTACTACATCAAGGATGTATAGCACAAGCTTTTGTAAATAGAGGGCTTACATTCAAGTTCATTTTTAAAGTTTTGTCAGCTAAGAGCCACTGGAAATTGCGGAACAAGAAATTATCCACAGATTGGATTGTGTTAAGCATGGCCTAAACCAGTGGTCACCAACCCATTGATCCTGATTGACAGGTCAATCCTGGAGCACAGGTTGGGGGGAAGGGCCCTGGGTTCTCCGCCAGGCTGCACCCAGTGGCGGGAGCCTCCCTGCGCACTCCTAGACCGCAGAGCTTTCCAGACCTGGCCGGGTCAGGGCCCGACGCCACATTCATCTGGCTGCTGCGTGGGTATGGCTCAGTGCAGCTGTGGCATGGAAGTGGGACTGGGCCCAGCCAGGTCTGGGACTCTTCACAAGCCGGGGAAGGTGGGGTGAGGTAGATCCTGGGGTGTCCTTTACTTCCAAAAAGTAATCTTTACCATAAAAAGGTTGGAGACCACTGGCCTAAACCGAGACGATGCAATTTTATCCCATTACTTGGATGGGTTAACTGCTTTGTTTTTCTCTCTCCTACCCACCTTGCCTTTCAGCAGTGCCATCTTTCTCCTATCCCCTTCCCTATCCTTTGTATCCTAAACCACTGCTTTCTATTTAGCAGCTCTGCTTCCTGCAGTCCCTTTACAGCATCTATTGAAGTAAGTCCTCTGCTTACAAAAGCTTATACTATAAATCTCCAATTTACAGGGTCTATAAATAGGGACCTACTT